GCAAGAGTGGAACAAAACACTAGGCAAAAGGCCGAGCCTTCCACCCTTTACCAAGTATATAGATGCATTAAGATAACAAGATCATATGGTGATATCCCAACAATAAACAATGTTCCAACAAGGAACGATCTCCAAACTTCACCTGCACTAGCAATGCTATAAGAGGGGCTGAGCAAAGCGGTAACATAGCCAATCAAAGGTTTGCTAGGACATGGTGGGTTAGAGGTTTGACATGGCAATTTAGGAGGCATGATAAGCAAGTGGTAGGCGTCGTAGCATAGGCATAGCAAAAGAGCGAGCATCTAGCAATCAAAGATAGAAGTGATTTCGAGGGTATGATCATCTTGCCTGCAAAGTTGTCAGAGTTGACTTGATCCTCGTAAGCAAACTCAACGGGCTCCTCGTTAGTGAACTTGTCTCCCGGCTCTACCCAAACAAGACAAACAAGCAAAAGGAACACAATGAACCACATGCAAAGCTTAAACAAACAAGATGCAAACATGGTATGCTATGCGGGATGCGATATGTGATGCATATGCAAGATTTGACAAGGAATGATTAAAACTGACCTCAACTTGGAAATCCAAGGGTGCCACTGGAAAGGTGAGGTGATTTCGGTTGAAATCGATATAAAGATCACCGGAATCGGATGCACGGTTTGAAAATGGCAAGCAAAACAAATATGGCACCGGTCTGCGATAAACAGCAAGTAGCCATCTAAATGCGTCAAGATAATTATGCTACAGCACTCAAACATGACAACAAAATACATGGCAGGGATCCATTCATGATGCTTGACAAAAGATGAACAATGAGCTACGGCCAATTCATCCATTAATAGGTTCAAACAAGCATGGCAAAAATGCAAACGATAACAGATTTCAGACTTAGTGAAATTAACACAAGTCTATAATTTAACATCAGGTAGCACACTTTGGAGCATGAAAACTATATGCTACAGGAACTTAACATGGCAAAGCAAGGCATGAAATGGAGCTACTCCAAGCACTTAACAAAAGTCCCTTAGTGACCTTGAGCCAAAAGGGATCGAAAAATACAATTGCAAACATGTGAACATGGCAAAAACATAATCAGATTACAGACTTAGTGAAAAACTGGAGCATGCAAATCTGTTAACGAGTAGGCATGTTTACGAGCTCGATGCACTCACTACAGAGCAAGGCATGACCAAACTAAGCATACACCCATCAAGAATATATATCATAGAAGCTAGACATGGCAAGAACAACAACATAGCATGCACGGATCACTAGCAACATTCTCGGCAAAATCGCTCACAAGACAACAATCTGCCAGGATTCACGAAATAGCAAAAGTAGAGCTCGATTGACTCAAGGTAGGGTGCTCCATAAATGCAAACAAAGACATGGATGGATAGAGCACCACAATATTAACAAATCATCTTTACTAATCATCCTCAAAAGAGGCACGGATCACTAGGAAACAACATGAACATATGGCATATTGACTAAAACAGATCAAGGACTTAGTGAAATTCTAAGTCCCTGAAATCAGCATTGACGAATGCACTACTTTGCAAGGTTGTCCTAGTCACCACACGTATCACAAAAATACATGGTAAGCACCTCTGTAAAGATGGCATAGCATATAACAAAATTCATGTAGAGCTCAGGAGCATATCATGCACACATAAATCATTGCAAAAATGACAAATAGCTATTTGATGAAACAGATCTGACAATTTAACCAAATAGCCCTCTTCCAACAGCATTTCGGGCATTAAGATGAGCTCAAATGAAAATGATGCAATGAGATTAAATGATGTACTCTCTGAGACGAACATTTTCATATGCTATACGCGCAAATCGGAGCTACGAGTGCGGACTTACGGCATGAGCAAGAATGCAAAAAAAATACTAGGGAGAGGGAAAAAGTCAACCCTCTAGGGTTTCACTGTAGCTCGGATCTGGATCGCGGTGGCGCGCACACCGAGGTTCATCGGCAAGGATGGTAGCGCGGCGACCGGAGCTGAGGGAGCTCACCGACGTGGAGGGGCTCGTCAGGGCGGCGCCGGCTTGCCGGGGCGAGGAGGCGGTGCTGATGGCGGCGGACGTCGGCGGCATGGTAGCCGCGGTGGGGGCGGCGAGGTGCGGCCAGCGCGGGACGGAGCTCGGCTCCGGCCGGCGAGGTGCGTGGCGGAGGCGGGCGGCGCACGGGACGAAGACGGCGGCGCGGTGAGGGCCTCTCGGGCGCGGGTGGCGCTCGGGAAGAGGAGGCGGGGCCCGGTCGCAGGGGCGGAGAGGGCCGGCCTTGGGCCCGGCGGGCCTTGGCGGCGGCGGCGGGAACGGGTGCCACATGGCGCACGGTTATAGGCTGGGCGCGGCGGCGCGGGCGGCGGACATGTCCGGCCCGACCGGATCTCGTCCGGCGGCGCGAGGAGGAGATTTCTAGGGTTTGGGGGAAGAAGACCCGAAAATTTCGGGAGAGGATCTATATATAGGCATAGAGGGAGCTAGGAAGCTCCAAATGGAGTGCGGTTTTTGGCCACACGATCGTGATCGAACGACCGAGATGATGGGGAGGGTTTTGGGCCACTTTGGAGGGGTGTTGGGCTGCAACATACACGAGGCCTTCTCGGTCCCTCGGTTAACCGTTGGAGTATCAAACGAAGTCCAAATGGCACGAAACTTGACAGGCGGTCTACCGGTAGTAAACCAAGGCCACATGACAAGTCTCGGTCCAATCCGGAAATGTTTAAGCCCCACACACGAAAAGAGGTAGAAAGGACCACCGGAGGAGATAGGAGCGCCGGAATGCAAAACGGACAACGAGGAAAATGCTCGGATGCATGAGACAAACACGTATGCAAATGCAATGCACATGATGACATGATATGAGATGCATGACAAAGGCAACAACACACGGAGACAAAAACCCGAACCCGAGGAAATAAAATAACTTAGCGCCGGAAACGACAAGAGTTGGGATACATATAAGGTAAATGACATCCGGGGTGTTACAACCGGCTACCCTCGTATCGTTCCTAGTTGATCGTGTACCGTGTGAACTCTTATGTATCCGAGGATCTAGCACATGTGTGACTTTCTTGTGTCGGTTTAGTGTTTCTCCCGTGTTTTCCCTTATGTTTCTCCTCGTTTTCCCCTTGTGTTCTTCGTGTTCATCGCGGGATCCGCTCCTTTCGTGAAAGATCGGGCGATTAGGGTTCTACCCTACATCAGAGAGAAACCTTGGAAATCCATTATAGAGCAAAAATATTTGTCTGGGAAACCAAACCTGTTTGCTGTCAACCCCACCCAAACTCTTCTAGATTTTGGAAAGGATTCTTATCCATCATCTAGAATCTGAAGTTTGGATTTAGATGGAAGGTTGGCAATGGAGAGAAAGTTAGGTTCTGGGAAGATACTTGGTTTGGGACTTCCCCTCTAGCTACTCAATTTTGGCATGTTTACTTAATTTGTAATGAGCAAACTAAAACTATTAAAGAGGTATGGGATGGGGAAACCCTCCAGTTAACTTTCAGAAGGAACTTTGATGACAAACTCATGGAGCAATGGTATCACCTAGTTGAGTGTGCTAAGAGCATTCCCCTCTGTGAGGATACAAATGCACTGATATGGCAGCTTGAAAGTAAAGGGGTTTACTCTTCAAGCTCTCTGTATCAAGTCATCAATTTTCGTGAGGTGCAGCCAATTTTCATCCCTGCGGTATGGAAACTTCGGGTACCCCCAAAAATCCACATTTTCTTATGGTTGTTCTCTTATAACAAACTGATGACCAGAGACAATCTGAGGAAAAGGCACATCATTAAACCCCTTGATTGTGTCTTCTGCACTGATAAAGAAACCAACTCTCACTTGTTTTTTGATTGCATTGTAGCAAAAAACATCTGATCATTTGTGACTGACCACTTCCAGGTCCAGATAGGAACAAGGTTTGGATCTGTAGCCGAATTCTGAATCTCTAACAAGAAGAATGTTGCTTTAAATATAGTTTCTTCAGCAGTCCTGTGGTATTTGTGGAAGTATAGGAACTCTATCATCTTTAACAACACCATTTGGACTTCGATTTCACAGGTGTGGAGACTAATCCTCAGACCCCTCAAGTTTTGGGCGATCTTGGCCCCAAAGGGTGGCAGGGCTCGTCTGGAGGTTTTCCTGACAGCGCTAACAGCCCTCTCGCAGCAACCACTGAGAATAACGAGTGGCTGATGCTGAAATGTTACTCAAGAGATGGGGTCGTGAACCAATGGGGCAGGCTGAAGATCTCTGAAGATGACTGGAACTTCCATTCCCCAAAGAAGCAGGGAGCCTCGATGGACAAAAGCAGGCTGAGCAGCCCGGTCTCGACCCTTGCCTGCTGGTCCCCTCAAGCGGCTACAACACCGCCTTTCAAGTTGAGGAGGTCTGCAACGATGGGAGAGGACACTCTCCGGAGATTTCAGTCTGATAGTTTACCGTTCTAGTTCAGGCCTGTGTGCCGCTTCGATCTATAATAGATCTGTATTCCGGTTTACTTTTTTTTTCTCCTAGTGCTCTTTTAAGGACGAACTGCTCCTCTAAGTGAGCTGCTGTAAAATTGGATGACGAGTTTTGGTTTCATTCTGAGTAATGGAACCGGGGAGGTGAGCCTCCCTGTTCATCTAAAAAAAATGATCCAATTCAAGGTCGAGATTGTGATGTAAAGTGTATGTACCACTACATTTTCCCATGAACAGAAGTTTACTCCCTCCGATCCATATTAATAGGTTGTACTAGATCAATGACAATTAATATGGATAGGAGCAGTAACACGAAAAGAACGTCTCCAATATCATTTGTGGTCCCGCAACCAAGACAAAACAAAAAACCTCTATTCTTCTATTTCCAGTACAAGATTAGACCTTTTTCCCACCTCTAGAGTCAGTTTACCATTGATGCAGATCTTTGTGCGCCTCTTATTAATCCTTCTAACAGCAGCTAAACATACAGCAAGACAGTAAAAAGCCTTATTTCTTTTGCTTACACGTCAGACAAGTGGCAAGAACTTGGAGACCCTGCTGTTTGAGTCGCGATGACTACAACAACTGATGCTTCCACGTTAGTCTGCTGTGATGGGCCGTCACTGATCCTGCCGTCCACTGCCTGATCCTCCGGTCGCGTGTGCTCATCTCTAAGGCCCACATGATGCTGCGCATTTGAAGAGCAGTCCTCTTCGATGGCTTGTGTTTCCAGATCGGTTGGAGCGACGCTGGCAGCTCTGGGGGCAGTCAGGAGCGATACTCGGCAAAGAGGGCAAGTAGTGTTCTTAGAAAACCAGTGGTCAATGCAATCGATATGGAAGGTGTGACCACAAGGGGGTATTCTCTGAAGCCGCTCATCTGCTTGATAGTCTGCTAAGCAGATCGAGCACCTGGCAAGAATGTTTACTGTTCAGCAAAATATAGCTAACTAAAAGAAGAATGCGGTGTAAAATTGCAGCAGGAGTGGATATCATTGTTGGCTAACACATATAGTTGTAGTGAGAGAGCTAGGGATGGAGAATACTTTGGCAGAAGTAGTGATGGAAATTACACATGCATGCCAAACAACAAAGCCTAGGGGAAAGATGCCTTTCTGCTACTGCGGTTACTGCAAGTAACATACTACTGTCCTTCATACAGCTTCAGGCGGATAAAATAAGCCTTGGAAAGCCTTGATTTATTTTTGAATGTTGAAAGCCTTGATTTATTCAAGCGGAAATGACATATTTGTTGAAAATTCTTAGAAGTCGGGTCTTCCTACTTTCATATGATTCATGCAGGACTTTCTTTCAGGACTTTGGGGCCATAGCTTGGAAAGCTTGTACTTATGTTGGTTAGAAATAGACCGTACCGTGCATGTTAGCAGCAGCCAGTATTTGAATTCTTATGTAGCTACTTTCATTTGATTGCAATAGAAGTGGGTGCATCCTGTCACTCTTGATAGTACACTATTTATGCACACCCATGTAACTCTACTTTTCTTCAATGACAACAGAACAACAAAATCTTTTACATCACTTGAAAGTTTTAATAAATGACATCATGCATTTTAATTACGCTACGTTCCCAAGCGTAGAGATGTCCACGGATTTGTTTCTAAAGAGGCTAGTCCATAAACACTTCATAGGGCATATTACATATTAGTAGCACTCCCACTACTTGTTATGGAAAGCTGGAAACCCACATCCTTCCTTTCCCTAGCTTCCTTCTATCGTACTAGTATAACCATTAATTAGGGTTATCAACCTTGTGCCAACTGAAGGATCTCTATTTATTGCAGTACCAGCGTTGATTTCTCATGTTCAACAAATTTCCGAATATGCACCGTCCATGAGTGCCTTGCTAGTGGTTCACAACTGGCTAGCTCGCACTTAAGTGCATACACAGATTAGCGGCATAAAGATGCAGACTCTAGCAGCCTTGATTAAGAACACATGTGTCCACTACAGAGCTAATTCTTATAAGCTACTAAAAGGACAGATTCAATAGAAAGTTCAACTTCAAATCATCATTAAACCATATATTGATAGTACTGTCAGTACATACAGCATTTTTTAGAAAACCTTATTTTCACAAACATATCATAAGGAAAGACTATAAGTGCCTCTTGGGTTTGTGACTATCTTTGCCACATTATTTTTGTCACACTTGCCTAACTTGAGGTGCTCAAATTCTTAGCCACACTTTGGCTTGCCTTAGGGAATCTTGCGACATTTTGTGTGTGTATGATATGTGGGGCTTATTGCTCACAAAAAGATTCATGCCTTAGGTGTGGCTATAACCAAACACACACCTAACTTGGCCAAACTTAAGGTGTGGCTAGGAACCAAACAGTCTCTAACACATTTGAGACAAAAAGCGTAACAAGTGATTGTTAATTGATGAGATACGGTCTAGTACAAGTGTACACCACTATATTAACTGCATTAAGGAGACAAGGAGCGGATCACTGACTGTGTTTCCTGATCAAGAAGCTCTCCTTGAAGATCACAACTGGCAACATCTCACGCATCTCCTTATTTATGCCACACTCCAACTATAAATGCAGATATGTTCAAATAAAGATAAATCAAACAATAAGATTTGCAATACACCAAGTATATTTAAGAAAAGCATGCATGGGGGGAACATAAATGGCCAACTTATAGAACAAGTAGAACAAGTAGAAGAAGAGAAGCAAGACGAATGTGAAGAAAACTGGCACATGCCAATTCGCTCTGCGCCGCCACAGGTAGAACAAGTAGAAGAAGAGAAGCAAGACGAATGTGAAGAAAACTGGCACAGAGAAGATGAAGGCCTGGTATAGTTTAAGCTCAGGCGATACAGCGGAGCAATAGTCCGGTGGATCTGGGGAAGTACAAGAAGACATGGCCAAACCAAAATGCACTTACAGAGTCCCTAACTGGCACCAAAATCTCTAACCCCAGTGAACTGTAACATTCCTAGATGCTATGAGCTATCCTGTTGTGTCTTGGTCTCCCATCCCATGAACCAACTGCCGGCCTCAGCACATATCACAAGATACAGTAAGCTAAAACAAACGAGCTTAAAGGAAAGCCAACGAAAAACAAGCACCAGTCCCACTCCCAGCCACCTAGCAACCTGATCAAAGAGAAGTAATGCTACTGACAGTGGATTCCCGACTAACAAAAACACGCGCTCCTCTCTGCTGATCCAACCGGTGATACCAAATTGCTCGCGAGAATATTGTCGGAGGACCTCCCCAGCCTAACCTAACACCGCGAGAGCAGGAGCAGAGAGGTATACGCCCAAACAGACAGCTATTTCCAATCCACCTGAATTTAACACATAATTGGCACGAGATGGGTATGAACAGATCGCGATTCGGCGTCAGATACTGGGGAGGCCAAGGTCGCGGGGCCGGAGCGGCAGCGGCAGCGAACTGAACTAGGAAGAGCAAGAACGAGAGAGGAGTTCAGGCGGGTCCAGCGAATATGGGCGGCGGCGGCGCAGATCGGGCTGGGAGGAGAAGCGACTCCAAGAGCTAAAAACGAACAGGGAGAAAAGGAAAACAACGGCTGGGCTCCCAGGCGGCCACCGGCCAGCCTATTTTTCTTTACAGTCACCGGTCACCAGGCCAACGGCTGGGACTGTCTATTTGACATTTGACTGTTTTACAATTCAGTAACATTCACAACTGTTTGTCCCAAAAGCCCCCAACCGGACACTGCATAATTCCTTTTATTTCGGGATAAACGGGTCAGGCAGAACCCTGACCCGGTTTCAACTAAACCACACCACCACCAATCCTCGCTGCACCGCTGGACCACAGCAAACAGCTCGCCATGAACTTGCTACTCACGGAAATCTCCAGCCCCTCCTACATAACATCATAGAGCTCACCTAACACACATCACAAAAGGAAGAAACAAATCAGGCCGATGGCCATGGAAGAAGGGTGGGAAGAAGAACAACGAGCAGTTCAAAATCAGATAAGGCAGGCAGCCATGAGAGAGAGGGATGAATCTGGAGAGGAAGGTGGAGGTTTACCTAGAGACAAGCGTGAAGGAAGAACAACAACTAGGCAATTGGGGAAATCTCAGGAAAATCAAAAGGTCAGGCACAAAAACTACTGCTACCCCCTAGTACTTCAACTCTTCACCCGCTTCACCTCTCTTACAAGAAAAATCCACAAAACAAATGCGTCAGAGAAACAATCAGTAGACAAGAACTATATACTCTGGAAATAATTCGTCACTAGCAGTAGATAGAACTTGGATAGTTGTATAATTTACACTGCAAGCACACATAGTGCCTGGATTGACTCTGGAATGAACAGTAGCACACCAAGAATTACACTGAAACTGGCTAAAACAGACCAAGGATTACAGTGCAAAATCCCCTAGTAATTACATAGTACTCCCTCCGTCCTATGATGTAAGACGCTTTTTGACACTAGTGTAGTGTCGGAAAACGTCTTACATTATGGGACGGAGGGAGTAATTCCCAGTGCAAATTGCATAGAAATTACAGTGGAAATTACATAGAAAAATACAGTGGAAAATTGCATATAAATTTTAGTGTATCAATGTAAGAATGCATCAAAACTTACATCGGTAGAAACCTATTGTATTTACACTGTTAAGATACTACTGCTAATTGTACTCTTACTGACATTCCTTTTCCAAAAATGCAGATTGGGAGCACGACAAGAACAATAACAAAAGATGATCTACTATCAATGTCACAGGAAGATATCATCCTAAATGTGAGTACCAAAATCAGTAGCAAAACACTTGCATGAGAATGATCAGTACATGAAAAAGAAAAACTCACACACAAATACATTGCAAGAGTCATTTTCATTTACTGCGTTCCTACAGTCAGGCATTATATACAAGGTAAGAAACTAACCCCCATAAGTCTCAGCTGAAGACGATTTGATTACTTAGCTTCCCCATTTGCAATTCATTAAAAACTATTTTTAGTATTACTATTATTTCAGTATTACTATTACATCAAGAATTCTGGTTTAAAAACATGTCGCATACAGGTACATTCGGCTAATGGTACAACACAACTGAGAGTGGAGGAGTCCGGTAACAAAACACAAAACAGCAAACAACCCATCAGTACATTCTACAGTAAGACTAATGAAATGGAGAAAAATTCATGAATACACAAAAGTAAGAGAGAAATTTACAACTTTAGTATTCTTGTGCAGACATTTGAAGAACTGGAAAACGAAGCTACACGAAATGAAGAAGGTGCAGAAGAGCATAACCCGTGGCATGCAGACCTGTTTGGCACCATGAACTTGGAACAAGTGGGTACATGAAGACAAAATTTCAGTAAGATACATATCATAAAAGTTGAAAACTAGTAAGAAAATTATGAATGAGGCGAAATGCTAAAAAATGCAGGTAACTGAGGATGACCCTAGTTCAGCAGCAACACAAGCACACAACACTTGCCAGAATAATGAAGAAAGAGAAAGGCCAAAAACAGACCACTCACATGAACAAGATGACAACGAATACCTTGACGAAGAAGACACTGAAAGATTCCTGCAAAATGAACAAGAGGCTGCATCAGAAGGCAATTTGATGAACACTAGCAGCAACTTCAAGCCACACCTAGGCATGCAATTCAAAACAAAGGAAGAAGGCCAGGAATATATCAACTTCTACTCCAAAATCGCTGGATTCTCAGTGGCAGCACTAGCAGCATCAAGAACAACAAGCAAAAAGAGGAACAATGAGGTGACCAGAATAACTATGAAGTGCAACAAGTGGGGAATTAATGAAAATAAATAAAAAGAAGCCAAAATTCAGGAATTACATAACTGAAATCAATGTAAATACACTGCAAAAATGGGGGAATATACACTGTAGATACAATGTAAACCATCATAATTCTAGGGGAAATTACACTAGAATCAGGGGCCATATAAATGTGTCAGGGATTACATAGCTAAAAACATTAAAAATACACAGTAACTCGTGTAAATTACACTGGAACTAAGGACAAATTACATTGAAACTACATGATGAATTACACAATAGTTATTGGGAAAAATAAATACAGATTAATTCCATTGAAGCTACAAGATGAATTACACAGTAATTCTTGGGCAAATTACACAGTAACACTACAACATGAGTTACACAGTAAGTCTATATTGAATTACACCCGACAACTACAAAGATGAATTACAACTACAAAGATGAATTACACAGTAAATTCTATATTGAATTACACTGAAACTGCATGATGAAATTACACAGTAAATTCTATATTGAATTACACTGAAACTGCAGGATGAATTACACAGTAATTCTATATTGAATTACACTGACAACTACAAAGATACATAGTAATTCTATAGTAAAATTACACTGAAACTACATGATGAGTTACACAGTAAATTACACTGAAACTACATGATGAATTACACAGTAAAAATGTGGCAAAATACACAGTAAAAACTACTAATTCTAGAGAGAGAGAAACACTGAAACTATAGGCTGAATTACATAGTAACTACCGTGCAATTTGCATAGTATATTACATTGAAACTATGGGGATTACACAGTAAGTCTGACACAAAAAATACACAATAAAAACCTAGTAATTCTAGAGTGAAAAAACACTGAAACTATGGGCTGTATGGGCTGAATTACATAGTAACTACAATGCAATTTGCATGGTATATTACACTGAAACTGAGGGGATTAGCAAGTAAGACTCAGGCAAAAAATACACAGTAATTCTAATGTATGCCACTGAAACTCTAGGGTTACACATCAACACTCGGCACAACCAAAAGATACAAACCTGCATCAGATACACAGTTACCAGGGGCATTGCAGAAAGCTTAAAAAGAATACATTGCAGAAGCACATAAAAAACACCCCCAGGCAACTAGGAGGAACCTAAGTACATCTAAACTACGAGGAACATATGCACTTGCAGGACAAAAGGGGACCTGCAACAGAGGGCATAGGAGGAACCTAACTACATATAAACCTACCGAAATCCAAACATATACAGACCCTAGAACCAACACGGCCAGAGGAGGGCAAACACCCATCTGCCAGCAATCAAGCGAACCACCTACCAACACAAAACTGATCCATACATCTATCTGAATCACAAACTAGTCACGCATGAACCTACCACGAGCAGAGGAAGAACTCAATGGCGGACAACACGAAGCAGACAAGGAACTATGGCGGGACAACGTGAACCATAACGAACCACAAAAACTACAAGCACCTACCATGAATCTACAGCACCACGGCCCTGGAACACAACACACACCTACCACGAACCCTAACAAAATCACATCAGCAAACTGACCTCCTAGATCTGGAACCTATACACCGAGAAATGAACAAAAAACATGCGCTCGCGAGAGAAAATGAGAGACCAACCAACCGCAGGAGGCGAGAATCAAAGAGAAATTGGAAAGGAATCAAGCTCCACGGGTGGGGGATTTGAGAATCGACATGAACAGAAAGGAATCGCCTCCGCCGCCCGAGCGCGTGTTCCTCTCTCTGCCTCGCTATCTCCTCTCTCCCTTGTCGCTATAGTACCGCTCAAATGAAAAGGGAAAACCACGCCCAGAATTCAAATAGGACAAAAACCGGAAGGGGCGAAGGGGAGGGGCGCGGAGCGGTAACGGGCTGGGACAAAAAAACGGACCCGATAGAAAAATCAAGCCCAAAGACCAGACAGCCAGGCGCGAATCTCCACGCAACAGCGGACGGCCAGCGATTTGAATGTTGGCGAATTGAAAAACAGTCGACTGTAAAATAGCAAATCCGTAATAGTGCAGCTGCACTAATTGGGCTGCACGAGTTCATGCGGTACACAATAAAAAAACTCACACTAGAAAAAAGACAATTAGTATTTTGTGTCATCATTACACTATAAAAAAAAGAAAGTATGTGTTTCTCATCCCATCGAACGCTCCCTACTTTGCACAAATCAGTAAAGAAATGACAAATGCGTGCATTTATTTAGGCTTAATAAAAATTTAAAAAGCCATAACTTGTGATTCAAGTGTAACATCCCAAAATTTCAATTTGGAATGTTATACAATAGGTCATCATGCATATCATATTTTATTTTGCTTTTGGTTTTGATCCTAAAAAATCCTACGCAACTCAAGGACCCACGGAGAGAGTTGGGGATTTCGTTATTTACATATTTGAGTTTTCTCAAATTATGTAAACAGGATCATTTGATTTTATTTATTTTATCATCAATTATTTCTATTACAAAAATATGAGAGAGGGAATAAAATGGCTTTCCCAAAATATAGAAATATTGAGGATTTAATAAAAAAATCAAATAAGTTTTATTTCGGAGTTTTTCGGTATTTTTTTTATTTGAATTTAGGAAAAATGCGCGTTTTTCAAAGTTGTTGTTTGGGCCTAGATAAATGTTCACTTTATCAGGCTTGATTTTAGGAACCCGGCAAAATTTATTTCGTGATTTTTGGAGTCCGTTTAATATTTCTTTTCATTTTTCTTCCGAGCAGATTTATTTAAAAAAAACGGAAACCGACTACGGGCCATACCAGGCCTGGACTCCGCCGGCTAAGGCTATAAAAGCCGCCGCCTGGGGCCCGAAAGCCCAGCCGCCGCCGCCTGACCTAACCCTAACCCTAATCCGCCGCCGCCGCAGCCGCCGCCGCCGCCCGCCGGAGTTGCACGCCTTTCGAGGTTCGCCGCCGCCCGCCGGAGTTGCGCGCCTTTTGAGGTTTGCCGCCGCCCGTTTTTTCGTGCAGTTTTTTTTTAAAAAAATTTGTTCGTCGTTTGTCTTTTTCGTCGGATTTTCCGCGGTTATTTTCTGATCGCGATTTCTGATCCGATTTTCGTTTTAGTATAACTTTTCGCTCGTTTATCGGAATTAGGCGATTCAAGCGCCTGGAGTTTCGTCTCGAAACCCTCTTTCCGAATAATCAACTTAAACAAGTTTTTGCTACTGTAAAATTTGCCCTAGATCCAGATTACTAGAACGAAGTTGTTTTCTCGCCGTTTGATTTCTTTTGCTTCGTTCGATTTGATTCTTTTTGCCAACCGGAGTTCTTAAGTTGAACCTTCTGGTTAGATCTTCTATTTGAGTTTTACCTGTGCATTACATGAGTACTTATTGTATGCTTGTTGTTTGTCTGCAATAGAATACCCGGATTGCGCCGCTTGTTACTTCGAAACCCTAGGTCTCGCGGATCATCAGCAAGGCAAGTAACACTTTGATCATACCTTTTCTACAACCCATGTTTTATTGCATTAGATCAATCCTCTCACATTGCATGATTAGGATCTAATTAAACCGTGGGATGGGAAGTAGATGAGGTAGTACCTATCACCTGTATTATTATGAAACCTTTGGGAGTTACTTCTACGTTTGCTTATTATGCCATGCTATGCTAGTAGACATGGATTGGGTGAGTGAAATCCATGGCAGATGTGAGTTGATAATTTTAATGGTTTATCTAAGGTGGCAACTTAAACACACATCTGGGTGGATTGAGGCACCTGATGTCTATCAGGACTTGCCTATTTTTTTGGACCGCCACCCAGGCTCAAAGGGATCATAAGATCATTCATGCTAGTAACTTCCGTGTGCAGCCACAAGCCATTATGGGCTCTGGCATAGTTGACTAAGTCGTGCGAACTCTTACGGGTAAACTAGCAGATGTAGGGGAAAGTAGGTGTACCGGTCTACCCACACGTAAGGTGCTAGCGCTTCTGAAAGACTGTGTCTCGGTCATCCGTCTTCTCAAACACCATGTAGTGCGACAAACCAAACGGAGGCGATCGAGTCTTGTGGGGAAAAGTGCGCAAATCTCTGTGGAGTGTACAAACTAATCATGATTAGGCGTGTCCCCGATTACGGACAACTTGAGTATCTAGTACTTGAATATCATGTGAATCTCAACATGTTACTTCTAATTAATGTTGTTGGGTTTTAATTGTTCACTTAATTGGGATCGGAATGCTGTCAACCATTCTCGATGTTTAACAACTACCATGATAGTTAAATAAATTTATTCCTTTGCAGTAGGGAAAAACTAGCTTTACGCAAAACTGTAACCATAGAGCTTTCCACCAGCCATATGTGCATATAGTATAGCTGTTTCATTCCATTACTCTCTATGTGTTACATTGCCAGCATATTCCATGTGCTGACCCGTTTTCGGGCTGCAACTTCTCATGTTGCAGACTTTTCAGACGACGAGTAAGGTGCTTTTAGGTCGTGTCCCTATACTCAATGATGCCGTTGGAGTTGATGGACCCATTTATCTTCCGAGTCTTTCGTTGTTATCGTTATTAGATGGCCTTAAGCCATATTTATTGTAATAAGTTCTCTTTGAGACAACGATTTAATAAGTGTGTGATTGCCACTCTGCTATAAATCCTTCGATGTACTGTGTGGTGTCAGCATTACTGATCTAGGGATGACACCTGAGCACAGGGCACTTGATCCATTCGGGTCGGGTCACCACAGAGATGGTATCAGAGCACACGCTGACTGTAGGACACGACCACTAAGTTAAAGCCATAGATCACCATTCCCTT